TCGGCTAATTCCATTGTTCCAGTCGACCAAACTCATAGCTATTTCTTTAGAACTCCATTTTTTTCTATCGAGTGAGTACAAGAAACTGCCCATTTACTGATTTCAACTACCCAACAACGTGGTCAGAAATCTGCAATTTGGCCAATTTCACGAAAATTAAAAAATATGACAATTTCAAAATAAGGACCAGAATGAACAATGCAGACATTCCTGGCTCTAAAATAACATTTTCTTTGTTCATCAGTCATGTCTCCAGGCCCTTGTGATATTACTCTTGCTTCCTATTTTGAATTTATATTCAAACAAAAAATAGAAGATTTACTGTTATGCAGACTACTGCAATATTGTAATAATTGTATAAAGAACATCAACCCATTCATGACTGCATATTAGAATGGCTAGTTGGACATTTATTGGACAATGACATCACTTGTTTACTTTTGAACATCGGCAAAAATCAAACAATTCCCGTACTTTGAGCTCCATTTCCAGGGTCCTTTTATGGTAAAATCAATCAAAATCACCTCTATTTCTATAATATATTTTCCATTCTATTAAATGAGACCAAGAAAACGAGAATACAACCATAAATATACGAAAATAGACCACAAAGTCGGCATTTTAATTAAAAAAAACAGTTTTTTTTTTACTCATTATGCACTGCGTGCTCCAGGATTTTTTTTATATGGTCCACACTGACCACACAGACCCATTCTCTCACATGTGGGCCTACCAGCTTTCTCCTGCTTGATTTGAAACCGCTAGATTTTTGTTTTTTTTCAACAAGTCGGCCGTCTCCCACCGAGGCAGGGTGACACAAAAATGAAAGAAAATCCCCAAAAAGAAAATACTTTCATCATCATTCAACACTTTCACCACACTCACACATTATCACTGTTTTTGCAGAGGTGCTCAGAATACAACAGTTTAGAAGCATATACGTATAAAGATACATAACATATCCCTCCAAACTGCCAATATCCCAAACCCCTCCTTTAAAGTGCAGGCATTGTACTTCCCATTTCCAGGACTCAAGTCTGACTATATGAAAATAACAGGTTTCCCTGAATCCCTTCACTAAATATTACCCTGCTCACACTCCAACAGATCGTCAGGTCCCAAGTACCATTTGTCTCCATTCACTCCTATCTAATACGCTCACGCATTTCTTGCTGGAAGTCCAAGCCCTCGCCCACAAAAACCCCCTTTACCCCCTCTCTCCAACCCTTTCGAGAACGACCCCTACCCCTCCTTCCTTCCCCTATAGATTTATATGCTTTCCATGTCATTCTACTTTGATCCATTCTCTCTAAATGACCAAACCACCTCAACGAACCCTCTTATGCCCTCTGACTAATACTTTTATTAACTCCACACCTTTTCCTAATTTCCACACTCCGAATTTTCTGCATAATATTTGCACCACACATTGCCCTTAGACAGGACATCTCTACTGCCTCCAACCATCTCCTCGCTGCTGCATTTACCACCCAAGCTTCACATCCATATAAGAGTGTTGGTACTACTATATTTTCATACATTCCCTTCTTTACCTCCATAGATAACGTTTTTTGACTCCATATATACCTCAATGCACCACTCACCCTTTTCCTTCATCAATTCTATGATTAACCTCATCCTTCATAAATCCATCCGCCGACACGTCAACTCCCAAGTATCTGAAAACATTCACTTCTTCCATACTCCTCCTCCCAAATTTGATATCCAATTTTTCTTTATTTAAATCATTTGACACCCTCATCACCTTACTCTTTTCTATGTTCACTTTCAACTTTCTACCTTTACACACATTCCCAAACTCATCCACTAACCTTTGCAATTTTTCTTGAGAATCTCCCATAAGCACAGTATCATCAGCAAAAAGTAACTGTGTCAATTCCCATTTTGAATTTGATTCCCCATAATTTATCCCACCCTCTCCCAACACCCTAGCATTTACTTCTTTTACAAACCTCTTCTATAAAATATTTTAAACAAACCATGGGGACATTACACCATCCTTTTAAGACCTACTTTTACCGGGAAGTTAGTCTTCCTCTCTTCTACACACCCTACCTGAGCCTCACTATCCTCAGAAAAACTCTTTACAGCATTTAGTAACTTACCACCTATTCCATATACTTGCAACATATGCCAACATTGGGTATCTATCCACTCTAGCATATGCCTTTTATAATCACATATATGCAATAAACACTTCCATACATTTATCTAAATTACTGTTCACATTATATGCTTCGATGTAAAAACACTTGATCTTCTCATCCCCTACCCTCTCTGAAACCTCCTTGCTCATCCGCAATCCTTCATTCTGTCTTACCTCTAATTCTTTCAATTATAACCCTTACGTACCCACTTACCTGGTATACTCTGTAACTAATTCCTCTATAATTTTTTTTCAATCTCTTGTTGTCCCCTTTCTCCTTTTATAAAGGGACTTATACATGCTTCACCAATCCCTAGGTACCGTCCCCTCTTTCATACATTTATAAAAAAAGTACCAACCACTCAACACTATATCCCCCTTGCTTTTTAACTTATATGCCAGATTCCCATATGTTTCAGCTGCTTTAACCCTTTCATTTACGTTAATGCCTACGTACCTCCCCCCACATACATTCTGATCTTCTCACTCCTAAAAGATGGTTATACCTCCTGGCCGTGCATGAAATTTACCACCTCCCTTTCTTTCCTCAAACATTTAAAAGTTCCTCAAAATATTCTCGCCCATCTTCCTAATACTCCCCTCCCCATCTACTAACTCCCCTACTCTGTTTTTAACGACTATCCATAATTTCCCTAGGCCTTCTCACTGTTTTAACTCACTCAAAAATTTTTTCTTTCTTTCATTTAAATTTCTTGACAGTGCCTTCCACTCTATCATCGCTCTCTTTTGCACTCTCTTCACCTCTTTTTACCTTTCTTTTACTCTCCTATACTCTGCTCTTCTTATAACACTTTGCTTTGTTAAAACCTCTCATAAGCTAAACTTTTTTTCTTTTATCACACCCTTTAACTTCATCATTCCACCAATCAATCCTCTTTCTCTCCTGCACCACACTCCTTAAACCAAAACTTCTGCCCACACATTCAAATACTGCCATTTTTAAACTATTCCAAACTCTTCAACCCCACCACTACTCATCTTTGCATCTAGCCCACCTTTCTGCCATTAGTCGCGTATATCTCACCAGAAACTGCCTCCTCCCTTAGTTTATACACTTTCACCTCCCTCTTACTTGTTGTGCCACCTTCCTCTTTTCCCATCTTCCTCTTACTCTAACTGTAGCTACAACTAAAGAATGATCCAATATATCAGTTGCCCTCTATAAACATGTAATCATGGATCCTACCCATCAACCTTTTATCCACAATTACTTAATCTAATAAACTCTACTTTCATTTCGTGCTAACATCCATACATTGTATATTTTTTTCTCTTTTTCTTAAAATTATGTATTACTTATTACCATATCTCTTTCTACACATAGCGCAATTAAAAGGCTCCCATTTTACATTTTAACCCTGCACCCAAAATTTACCTACTAACTCTCTCCATAAAATTTTTACCACTGTTAGCATTGAAATCCCCATCCACCATTAGACTTCACACTTGATTCAAATAAACTCCCCACGCATGCACTCTACACATTTCCCAAAATCCTCTCTCTCCTTACACTTCTCTTTCTTCCAGGTGCATTACACGCTTACTTTAACCCACTTTTCAATCAATCTTTTTTTTACTCCACACAATCTTGAATTTATTACATTATAATCCCCTCTTTTCCTGCCCTTAGCTTAATTTATGAGTACAGTGGACCCCAGTTAACGATCACCTCCAAATGGACCTTTATGTAAGTGTATTTATGTAAGGTTCGTTTGTTGTGTATGTTTGGGGGTCTGAAATGGACTATTCTACTTCACATATTACTTATGGGAAAAAATCGGTCAGTACGTCACACCTGACATATACGGAATGAAAAAAGTTCGTTAACCGGGGGTCCACTGTATATATACGTCAAACACGGTACCTCGTAAGACGTATATATACGGCCGCGACAGTCAAAGGGTAAATAAAGTTGCTGGGGGTTCAAACCAGGTAAGAACCAGGTGAAATATTGATTATAAGTTGGTTAAATTTAGATTTAGAAAGGACATAGGTAAGTACTGGTTTTCTAAGAGTTGTGGATGCATGGAACAATCTTCCCAGTAGGATGATAGAGGCTAGGACCTTGGATAGCTTTAAGAAGAGATTGGACAAATATATGAGTGGGAGGGGCTGGGTTTGATTGGTGTCATTGGGTACGGGAGTTAATTCTTGGGTAGCTTTGGGTAAAGGTCGTTTTGATGAGGACCTGCCTTGTATGGGCCAGTAGGCCTTCTGCAGTGTTCCTCCATTCTTATGTTCTTATTAAGAGTGCCTCACCAGCATCAAAGCACCTCTCTTGAGGGGAGAGCACTAGACACAAGAAACATATTAGGCATACATATGAAAGATTTACAGCTTCTATTTCTTATAACATGAACACCTAATCTTTAAAATGGCTTAAGTTCTGCTATGGATATTTTGCTAGAATGTGGTGCTACTTTCTGTGATGGGACCCAGTGAGAAAGTGTAATGAAGTGCTTGGGTCACACACACTATAACCATTTTCCTTAATACTTTGATAATACTAACATGGGCAAGGTGCCTTCCCCATATATCATGAGTAGTAAAAAAATGGTGAGAAAGATGGATAATTGAAAATTAAGTTGGAGTTGGCTAGTGGTATTTAAATAATTGTTAAGTAATTAGCTCACTGAAGTAAGAAGTAAATAATGTAAAGTGGTCACTGGTCACTTAGAACAGCAAATAAATTGGTAAGTTAAGTATACAGTACTTTAGTTCAAGGGCATGGTCTTCATGCAGTTTAACAAAGTGTATAACATCAGTTTTACTTATTTTTAAAAAACTTAACCCAAACTACTGAGATTCACACTTTTGTTGGGAATTGTGGATATGCTTGCAGCAGAAGTGCCCAGATCCAGTGAACTCGCAAGCTCAGGCTGACTGGAAATGACAATGCTAAAGTGAAGCCTGCTGCATCATGTCCTGCATGTGATACACTCTCACTCAGCTGAAAAAAAGCAAGCAAAAAAAAAAAAAAGTTAAAGGGTTAACAAAATGCATTTGTATTCTATGAAAAAATAATGAAAGGTTCATAATTATGAAATATTGTAAAAGAAGGTAAATAACTTCAACAATCTTATCAAGTAATTACAGCGAAAAGCACTTAATTTATAAAAAGAAAGATTAAGCAACTTCATTATATATCACAAATGAGCATTAAGTAATGGACATGATCAAAATAAATAAATAAATATTTATTACACTATTAGTTGGTAGACAGTTAAACAAATAATCAAAATAAATAAATATTTCTTATATTTGTTGGTAGAAGGTTAAAGAGTTGTGAATATTGGATACTGATACAAATTTCTAACTCTGACAATTTTAATATTGGTTACACTGATTTTCTTCTGAAACAAAAATTTTTCCTAATGTTCTCTATTTAGTACTGACTAAAAATTCTTCCCTTATTAGTACGTATAGTATATCTACAAATATGTTGGTGACTGAATCAAATTTTATTTTTTTTAACAAGTCAGCCATCTCCCACCGAGGCAGGGTGACCCAAAAAAGAAAGAAAATCCCCAAAAAGAAAATACTTTCATCATCATTCAACACTTTCACCACACTCACACATTATCACTGCTTTTGCAGAGGTGCTCAGAATACAACAGTTTAGAAGCATATACGTATAAAGATACACAACATATCCCTCCAAACTGCCAATATCCCAAACCCCTCCTTTAAAGTGCAGGCATTGTACTTCCCATTTCCAGGACTCAAGTCCGGCTATATAAAAGTAACCGGTTTCCCTGAATCCCTTCACTAAATATTACCCTGCTCACACTACAACAGATCGTCAGATCCCAAATACCATTCATCTCCATTCACTCCTATCTAACACGCTCATGCATGCTTGCTGAAAGTCCAAGCTCCTCGCCCACAAAATCTCCTTTACCCCCTCCCTCCAACCTTTTTGAGGGTGACCCCTACCCTGCCTTCCTTCCCTGACAGATTTATACGCTCTCCATGTCATTCTACTTTGATCCATTCTCTCTAAATGACCAAACCATCTCAACAACCCCTCTTCAGCCCTTTGATTAATACTTTTATTAACTCCACACCTTCTCCTAATTTCCACACTCCGAATTTTCTGCATAATATTTACACCACACATTGCCCTTAGACAGGACATCTCCACTGCCTCCATCTCCTTGCTACAGCATTTACAATCCAAGCTTCACACCCATATAAGAGTGTTGGTACTACTATACTTTCATACATTTCCTTCTTTGCCTCCATAGGTAACGTTTTTTTGTCTCCACATATACCTCAATGCACCACTCACCTTTTTTCCTTTATCAATTCTATAATTAACTTCATCCTTCATAAATCCATCTGCTGACACGTCAACTCCCAAATATCTGAAAACATTCACTTCTTCCATACTCCTCCCCAATTTGATATCCAGTTTTTCTTTATCTAAATCATTTGATACCGTCATCACCTTACTCTTTTCTATATTCACTTTCAACTTTCTACTTTTACACACTCTCCCAAACTAGTCCACTAACCTTTGCAATTTTTCTTGAGAATCTCCCATAAACACAGTATCATCAGCAAAAAGTAACTATGTCAATTCCCATTTTGTATTTGATTCCCCATAATTTAATCCCACCCCTCTCCTGAACACCCTAGCATTTACTTCTTTTACAACTCCATCTATAAATATATTAAACAACCATGGTGACATTACACATCCCTGTCTAAGACCTACTTTTACCAGGAAGTAGTCTCCCTCCCTTCTACACACCTTAACATGAGCCTCACTATCCTCATAAAAACTCTTTACAGCATTTAGTAACTTACCACCTATTCCATATACCTGCAACATCTGCCACATTGCTCCCCTATCCACTATATCATATGCCTTTTCTAAATCTATAAATGCAATGAAAACATCCCTACCTTTACCTAAATACAGTTCACATATATGTTTCAATGTAAACACTTGATCTACACATCCCCTACCCATTCTAATACCTCCTTTCTCATTCGCAATCCTACATTCTGTCTTACGTCTAATTCTTTCAATAATAACCCTACTGCACACTTGTCCTGGTATACTCAGTAAACTAAATCCTCTATAATTTTTACAATCTCTTTTGTCCCCCTTCCCTTTATATAAAGGAACTATACATGCTCTCTGCCAGTCCCTAGGTACCTTCCCCTCTTTCATACATTTATTAAACCAAAATACCAACCACTCTAACACTATATCCCCCCCCTGCTTTTAACATTTCTGTCATGATCCCGTTAGTTCCAGCTGCTTTACCCCCATTTTATTCTGCGTAATGCCTCACGCACATCCCCCACACTCATATCCTGCTCTTCTTCACACCTAAAAGATGGTATACCTCTATGGCAAATGCATGAAATTACCACCTTCCATTCTTCATCGATATTTAAAAGTTCCTCAAAATATTCCCGCCATCTACCCAATACCTCCATCTCATCATTTACTAACTCCCCTGCTCTATTTTTTAGCTGACAAATCCATTCATTCCCTAGGCTTTCTTAACTTGTTTAACTCGCTCCAAAATTTTTTCTTATTTTCATTAAAATTACTTGACAGTGCCTCTCCTACTCTATCATCTGCTCTCCTTTTGCACTCTCACCACTCTCTTCACCTTTCTTTTACTTACCATATACTATGCTCTTCTTATAACACTTCTGCTTTGTAAAAACCTCTCATAAGCTACCTTTTTCTCTTTTATCAAACCCTTTACTTCTTTATTCCACCAATCACTCCCTTTCCTCCTGCACCCACCCTCCTATAGCCACAAACTTCTGCCTCACATTCTAATACTGCATTTTTAAAACTATTCCAACCCTCTTCAAACCCCCCATTACTCATACTTGCCCTAGCCTACCTTTCTGCCAATAGTTGCTTATATCTCACCCGAACTTCCTCCTCCCTTAGTTTATACACTTTCACCTCCCTCTTACTTGTTGTTGCCACCTTCCTCTTTTCCCATCTACCTCTTACTCTAACTGTAGCTACAACTAAATAATGATCCAATATATCAGTTGCCCCTCTATAAACATATACATCCTGGAGCCTACCCATTAACCTTTTATCCACCAATACATAATCTAACCAACTACTTTCATTACGTGCTACATCATACCTTGTATATTTACCCTCTTTTTTATAAAATATGTATTACTTACTAATGTTTGATAGAAATTCAGGAAGGCCCTGCTTATACAGCAGGTTAAGTTCCAGGCTACCGCTATAAAGCAAAAATCACAATGCATATAAAACTCTGATAACATGTTTACATTATCATATATTAAGTGAGCAATAGGGATAGGCCTTAAAAATGCACATACAGTGCAACCTCAACTTACGAGTTTAATCCATTCAGTGAACTAGCTTGTAACTCAGTTCATTTTTATATGAAATCAATTTTCCTCATTTAAATTAACTGAAATGCCATTAATCCGTTCCAGCGGAATTCTTGCTCTCAGGAGGCAGGACAAAATACTTTAATATAATGCTAATATCAACTCTACAGCTCATTTATGTATCACAAATGATCTAATATGACATAATAAACAATATTAATAACATTGAAACATGATATATGCTCTAGAATGAATAAAATAGGGCATACTTTGGCGAGTGGTGGCAGCCACTGCCGCTGTCGCACTGATCATATCTTCCCATTCTTCCCCTTCTGAAAACAGAGTGTTTGTGAGGCTAACTGCATTAGATCACTAGTTTCATAAGGAAACAATGTATTTATAAATAAAAAATATTGCATAAAAACAATAAAACATAATAGAGAATGTAAAGAATTTTTTTTTATTATTAACACACTGGCCGATTCCCACCAAGGCAGGGTGGCCTGAAAAAGAGAAACTTTCACCATCATTCACTCCATCAGGGTGCTTTACACTACAGTTTTTAAACTGCAACATTAACACCCCTCCTTCAGAGTGCAGGCACTGTACTTCCCATCTCCAGGACTCAAGTCCGGCCTGCCGGTTTCCCTGAACCCCTTCATAAATGTTACTTTGCTCACACTCCAACAGCACGTCAAGTATTAAAAACCATTTGTCTCCATTCACTCCTATCAAACACGCTCATGCATGCCTGCTGGAAGTCCAAGCCCCTCGCACACAAAACCTCCTTTACCCCCTCCCTCCAACCTTTCCTAGGCCAACCCCTACCCCGCCTTCCTTCCACTACAGACTGATACACTCTCCAAGTCATTCTGTTTCGCTCCATTCTCTCTACATGTCTGAACCACCTCAAGAACCCTTCCTCAGCCCTCTGGACAACAGTTTTGGTAATCCAGAGGGCTGAGGAAGGGTTGTTGAGGTGGTTCGGACATGTAGAGAGAATGGAGTGAAACAGAATGACTTCAAGAGTGTATCAGTCTGTGTGTGTGTATATATATATATATATATATATATATATATATATATATAATATATATATGTGTGTGTGTGTGTGTGTGTGGCAGATGTTGCAAGTATATGGAATAGGTGGTAAGTTATTAAATGCTGTAAAGAGTTTTTATGAGGATAGTGAGGCTCAGGTTAGGGTGTGTAGAAGAGAGGGAGACTACTTCCCGGTAAAAGTAGGTCTTAGACAGGGATGTGTAATGTCACCATGGTTGTTTAATATATTTATAGATGGGGTTGTAAAGGAAGTAAATGCTAGGGTGTTTCGGGAGAGGGGTGGATTAAATTTTGGGAATCAAATTCAAAATGGGAATTGACACAGTTGCTTTTTGCTGATGATACTGTGCTTATGGGAGATTCTAAAGAAAAATTGCAAAGGTAGTGGATAGTTTGGAATGTGTGTAAAGGTAAAGTTGAAAGTGAACATAGAAAAGAGTAAGGTGATGAGGGTGTCAAATGATTAGATAAAGAAAATTGGATATCAAATTTGGGAGGAGGAGTATGGAAGAAGTGAATTTTTCAGATATTGGG